GGGTGATGAATTTTGCTGCTTTCTCCCTTCCTGGAGTAGTGTTTTGTGACAGTTGCCTTCTTAAACTCCCCGTGGGCTCATCCTCAGCGAGTTACTGAGCAGTAGCTTTGAAATCTCTTTGGAAATCATTGCACTTCTGTTACTTGTCCCGAGATCAGATGATTTTGTAGATTTTTCAAAGTGGACGTATGAGCAAGAATCTGATTTCTTGGTAACTCCAAATTAAATTGCTCCAATCAAAGTGGCTCCAGCAATGCTTCTTACAGCCAGGATTTTGAAAGCTGGGTTTGAAGTGTGTTGCAGTCAGCTCCGTTTACTCACAGCTCATTGGAAGTGCTGTTCATTATTAATTCAAACATAAGCCTAAATTTTTCATCTTGCTTGTAAAAAAGTCCCAAACAACCCAAAACAAACCTGTATTTTTTAGGAAACGTACTTGGCTACTGCTGTTAGAAGTAACTAACAGGGAGATGTGAAGGTGTGTGTGGCGTCGGTATTTTTAACCTTGCTTGCTTTGTTTGATGTTTTATTTTTTGTGGTATCCTCTACCTGCTGGCAGTTGGGACTGAAAAACAGGAGAAATTTTCAGACAGCAAAGGGAGGTGGTAAGAACATCTCCACCCACAGAAAATCAGGGTTCAGATGCAGTGTAATACCTGCGTCAGATCTTTTAAACTTTGAGTTGGCCATGTCATCTCCCTCTCTCCTCTCTATGTCAGTCTCTCTATTTGCCCTCCTGCAAAACAGAAAGGACTTATAATTTGTTTAGAGGAAATTCTTTTTCTCGCTCTGTGGAACATTAATCTTGCATTAGGGGCTTTTCAGTGCAGAGTCAATTCAAAAATGGCATTGAAACTGAGAATTCTTGCAAATCACGAGCGTAGGGAAAAATCGGTGTTTTCTTCTTACTCTGAGAGTGGTGTAAAGCTGGGTGTTAAATGCACTGCCATTATTTTATGCCTTTTTGGATGCTTGAACACCTCTGCTAGTTAAAGCTGCCCAAGTGACAGTGCTTGGCACACTCTTCCTTGGTCACCACAACCGCACTTATTACGGGGAAAGCTGAGAGGTGGCTTCATTTTTTGAAACTTATTGGGATATGTGTCCTGTGCTGTGATATAGATCTCTTTTTTTCCTGTTTTTCGCTGTGTTTGCATCAGAGATCTTACCTCTCTCTTTTCAGTTGTAACAGGAAAATATTCCAGTGAAGACATTAATTATGTTTATTTTCACGTACTGCAGTAACTGTGGTTCTCGTTGTTACTCTTTGGTGTAAGTTCAGGCAGAAATGCTTTCAAGGTTTTTTTTCTGCCTTTCCAGGATAAACCTGATGGTGAACAAAGGAGGTTTTTACCATTTTCTTAACACTGTCGTTGTCTGACGTCAGCACTTCACTAATTATGTTTCCTGACTTTAGTCAATCAGTGCTTTTCCCCTGTATTTTGTTTGTAAACAGATGGAAACTAAACTGTTGTGCATGATTAAATCAGCTTCCTTTTATACAGCCTAATTTGTAGCATAGTAGTTGTGCATCCTAGCTGTTTAAAGTGACTGATTTGTGTTTTTGAAATGTTTTATACTAGTTTCAGTTGTTCTTTTTCAATCGATTTTGATTCAGTTCAGCCACCTTGTACCCCAATATAGTTGATGCTTGTAAAAGTCAGAATTTTTGGTGTTTAATTCTGCTTTGCTTAACGTATTGTGCATTTTATGGAGCTTTCACATGTTTCTCATGTCTCATAGTGACGCAGAGCATCTTGGATGATGGTGGTGCCTGGCAGCGCCCCGGTCATACAACAGGACCATGCTCTGGAGCCCGCCCTAGGACGAGACCCCCCGGAGAGCTCTGCCATGGGCCCTGAGACGGAGCCAGCGTCCCAGGAGGTGGGCACGGAGCTGGAGGAGGTGCAGAAGCTGCAGGAGCTGATGCGGAGGCTGGAGGTGGAGAGTCAGAGACGCAAGAATAGCAGGGGCCTGCCTGGGACAAGCGAGATTCGCACCGGGGTGGATAACCACAACCCTGCTCTTAACGGGATGGAAATTCATAACAGCATCAATGCCATCACGGAGAAGCAGGAATTGCAAATAATGGCAGATCTACACAGCCAGTTAAGCAAAATAAGGAAGGAGGAAGGAGAGAACAACTGCTTGAGAAAAGACATTGATGCCCAAATGCAGTATAGCTGCAACAGCGCTGGTGAGGAGTTGTCCACCACTGTGCACAAGGCGGGAATGAAGACGGATGATAATGTATGGTGTCCTGCACGTGTGGATACAAGTGACAGCATGGAGCTCACGGGCAACTTGGTCATTGCAGGTGTCGATTCCTCGGTTAAAATGAATGAACAAAATCCCAGTGAGAAATGCAGAGATCCAATAAGTCTTTCGAACAACGCGGATCTGGATGAAGTGAAGGTGTTAGAACTTGAAAATTGCTATGAGGAAGAAGATAGCTGGTACGTATTTCCAGGTTGTAGTTGTGTATGGAAATTACATGGTTGGGAGTTTGTGTTTAGGGATGCAACAATTTTTAAGGCTATAAAGTGATTTCTATAGTGCTTTGATTTTTAGCAGCAAGAACGCAGTTCTTATTATCTTATTTTTAATGCCGCTGTGCTGGAGCATTATTTTTTTCAAAAAAAATCAGTTAAGTTTCAGGCTTGGCTTTTCACCTTTCCTCCTGATGCTGCTGTAGCAAACACAGAAAACTTTCTTTCCCTGTTAGTTCATTTATGTATCATGCACACAGACGAATGAATAATGGAGTTTTTAAACTTTGTACATACCTGTCAAGTGATGCATTTAAGTAAGAATTTTGTAAAATACTGAGACCTTAGACCGTCTGGAATCTGTGGCTTTTGCTGGTATCTAGGAAGACGTATAATTTCCATTTCCTGAATGCTGTTTCTCTGCAGTTAACCTGTTTCTTTTGTTTAGAGACATGAACCGAAACAGATCTGTGATGTAATCCTGAGCTGACCTTGCTCTGTGGGACTCTCAACTCCACAGCAGCCTTGTTTAGAGCTTTTTTTATAAATCAGAGATTAATTTTCCTTGCCCTTCCAAAGCTAGTTAAAGTCTGGGGCTATTTCCAGCTCATACAATAGCTGTGACTTGAGATTTTTAGCTAGAGTTCTTCATTTTATGATTTTGTAGGGTAGCCTCAGGGACCTGCAAATTGTGTTTCAAAACTGTGTAGCTAAAGACTAATCTGGCAGCGAAGGCAACATCGCAGAGCAGTTGCTGAATACAAACCAAATCTGAGACTCTAAAAGTTCATTGTCCTTGTGAAAGTAAACTGTGGAGCTCACTAACATAATGACATCAGCTCAAATCTAAAGTCAAGGTTATGTTAAAAACATGTTTTGGTTTTTTTTTATTTGCAAGCTTTCTTTTAAAGCCAAATACTGGTTCTGACTTGATCACTGAAACTCTTCAGCATACCTGAACAGCTGACAGGCTTCATTATTTTCATGTGAGTTTATAGTTTTATATTCCTGTTTATGTAGCCTGTGACAGGAGGTATTCTGCAAACACTCTTGACTTGGTGGAGAGACCAGAGGGAGCCTGGGTTTCCCCCCAGCAGAGGCTCAGTTGTGAACCTTTCCTTGAGCTGGGGGCTGATAAAGTCATTCTGCTTTACCAGGTACCCTTCTCACTGCACCCTGTAAGATCTTCATGGTGTTGATACTTTTGTTTTCTAGTCAAATTTGGTTAATACCGGCTAGCAGCTTAAAAAGAGGCGCCCCAAGGAGCTGAAATAATTAGAGAGTGCTTGTGCGAGTTCTATTACCATAAATTACCTTTGATCGTCTTGCATTGCTCCCGTCTGGTTGGTTTTCCTCTTGTCAAACAAAGCTGGTAAAACAAGAAGCCATTTTTACCGTGGTTTCTTGTTTGTTTGTTGTTTGTTTTAAAAACCCAAACAAACTACCGTTAGGGCTACGTGGATTTAGGATCAACTTTAATAAAGGTGGCTTTGCTGACTGAGAGAAATTTTGTCCTTCCTGGATGGAAGTAATACCTAAATGTGTCAAGCAGTGTATGGTCAAAGGAAATAGCTTACTGAATTGGTATATTTACAGTCCTTTTTTAATATTATACATAAGGAAAAAACCTGTAGCTAATATTGGAAGATACCATGTGAACTTTGACACGATTTTTTGGTAATTTCTGAAAAATTCAGAGTGGCTTTGCTTTTTCCTGTCACTGCCGAATTGGTAAGTTTTAACAGCCCAGTCCTTTTGGTTTGCTGACCTTTTCTTCAATATCATCTAGTAAAGGGGCTGATGTTTTATACCTTAAAGTATAACAAGAACTCATTTTCTAATATTTTAAAGTCTGAAAGTGTTTAAAATAGGGGGAGGGGAGCATGAAGCTTTAGTTCTTCTGTCTTCATGTCATTCCAGTTTTAAGTACAGGTGCAAACTTTAGGGTAGTTTTTGTTGTGGAACTGTGCTTATCCCATGACTTTTAAGTAGTTTGGAAACCTCTACATCCACCATGTGGGTTTTTGCCACGTGAGCTGAAGGTGTAACAGCAAAACCACTTGCCGTGGGACAGCCACGGCAGGAGCATGGGGTGGATGAGGCAATTTGCTACCGTTCTCAGTTTCTGCCCTGGTTTGAAATGTTTGTTGTTACTTTTATCAAACTTTCCGTGCAAGATTTGTGTGGTCCCAGGCTTTGTTTTTAAACACAACCCCTGTGAAACACGAGGTGCTGTGTCCCCTGCTGCAGCTGTAACTCTGCACCCCTTCGGTGTCTGTCCCTTGCTTTCCCAGGCTGCTTTCTCAGATAGCTGCTCAAAATTGTAAATATCCTCGAGCCCCAAGCAAGTGGAAGTTGGCTTTTTGTGCTGGTGAGTTCAGCGTGATGCTTAACTTAAATTTCAGTGCTGGTTACTGGTTTCCAGTTCACTCCCTTACGCTTCAGTTCCTGCGCTGTCTGCAGAGGCTGTGTCCATGCAGAATAAGACATACCTACAATAGTGTTACCTTGTTTGTCTTCCCTCGTGTTTATCATTCCTGGGTACTCCCCATATATAAGAATTAAGTTGTGGTTTTCTGCATGTTTATTGTTCTTCGTGCAGTGATTTGTGTTTAGCGTTTTGTTACACATTCCTGTGCTGCTTGTTTGGTGTTTTGCCAGTTATCTTTCCTGATAAGACTTGGGAGAGAGAGTTTTGATGTGAAATTTTGATGAAATTATTCAAATTCCAACTGCTTCAGAGCTATAAAATGTCCTTATTGGTGTGTCATGGATAAAAGAGAGGAAAATAAATGGCAGAAGTTAAAAGCCTTGAACTTTTTCAATGCATTTTCCACTTTTACTTCATTACAATATTTTCAAAGAAATTACTGTTTAGGAGTTTCCTGGGAATTTGTTTTCTGCATTAGCCCCATGTGCAGTGGCCTTCTATATTAATGTCTTTAAGCATTTAATTCAACATACTACAGGATATCATTGCTGTTGGCTTGTACCGTCAGAGATGGGAACAAATTTTCTGGAGACGTTCCACCAAACGAGGATGTGGCACTGCACAAAATTCAGTTACTCTACCAATATCACATCATGAAAAATAAGGCATCTTGCCCCTCTAATCTGGGGGAGAACTCTGCTTCCCTACTCTGAATTTGTGCATTTCCACAGACCATGTAGGAATTTGCCTGTGATCTTTCCTTGCCAACAAGACTCTGTGTGACTTAAACCCAGGCATTTTCGAGGTCTTAATTTCTCAGACTGGTCATCTTATGAAAACAGATACTGTTAACAATGGCTTGGTTCGCTGTGGTGCATTAAATAACGTATCGGTGACTTACCGAAAGCATTTCCTGATGGCCTAGCAGGCTGGAATATGTCTTATCTGTTGGTAGGTGCAGTTAACCACCACGGCGGTCTCTAATGTCTGTCTGGCTGTGTGCACTCGTGGATGAGCTCCTTCAAAACCCTTAGCGCAGCTCTAGGATAGCATTCCCATCAGTGGCCTTTGTTGCCAGTAATTGCCAGTGCCAGTAGAGTAAAGCTGCAAGGAAAACCCTACCTGCTCAGCTGACACTTGTGTGCAAAATTAAACCTTTCAGGGCAAATTGCTATTGATGGCCGAGGCTTAAAATGATCAAGTTCAAGTGTTGGCATACAGTTCCCTCTGTACAGGGAGGTGTGGGCACGGGGACCTGGCTGCTTAAGCCTTTTTGTATTGGAGCAGAATTGCTCCAGGTGCTCCTTGGTGTACGGGTAGCGGGACCCATCAGTGGTCCCACAAGTTGCCTTTTAATCATCTCAAGATT